GTTGTTGAGAATACTCTACGCGTTTCGCCACAGCCGTGGCTTCATCAGGCGGAACATATATGGTTACAATTATCCACATCATATGAATAAAGCAGCAGCTAATTTCCAATTGGAGTGAGCAAAACAGGTTGGCAGAGCCTTCAATAGTCATGACCTTGGTTCCCCCCCAGGGGGCCGCAAGAGAACAAAATAAATAAAATCAAACATAATGCACCATCAATTGTAAAGATGCATAGCTGTCTTTACCTTCAAACCCCTATTAAAGTGCACAAACGGCTTTTATCCAGCATCTAAAGTCTGCTTTCATTATTACTTTTCTTTAGGGGACAAAGCTAAAGCACCCTGCCACAATAGCCTGTTGTCACTCTTTGCATTGGCTGGGCTTGCTGTGATATGGTGACATCAAAGAGTCAAATGCTTTAAGTAAAGCAGAGCCCCAAGCTTGTAACTCATCTTCTGCCATGCCCAGCCCTGCTTGATCCTGCCCAGCACTGGCTAATCTCATGGGGAGCCCCTTTTACCAAAGCCTTCAGTTTCTCACCACATGTAATAAGAATACGAACTTGGGTCATTTGAATTATCAATATTTATAATTATAAGCAAGATTTGAAGCATTACATTACCTTTAAATACCCAATGTTGTGAGGTTGCATGCTTTATATAAAATGGAGACGTCAAGCTTTTAGTTGTAGTTTAAAGGGAACCTTTACTGAAGAAATACTAAGGCTGACTTTGAAGACCTCCTTTAAAAAAATGCCAGTTGCCTGGCTGTTGTTAGCTGCTTTGAGTCACTGAACTGTAAGTATGCATCAGTATTAGTCAGTGTGAAACTGAAAGTTTGTGATCTGCATACTTGTTCTGGGTCAGTCTCTTAAAGTGACACTAAACTCAGGAGTTAAGTCTTAGAGAACTTTAATGCATGTTTAACTATTAACAGAAAGAAATGTACCTTATTTGTGTATCACTCGGCTGTAGATCATCAAATCATCTCTGAATTGGTGCTGACACTGTCCTTCCTTCTGGAGGGTGGCTACTTTTGTTCCCCATGGTCCCTGTGTGTGTTGTAAAGCAGTCACCACTCCAAGCTAGCTCCTGTGATGGACTAGAATCTCATGTTTAGTTTACTAATTTGTATTGAGATTGTTGTCCATCACGGGAGTGAGCTTGGAGTGGTGACTACTTTACAACACACACAAGGGCCATGGGGAACAAAAGTAGCCACCCTCCAGAAGGAAGGACAGTGTCAGCACCACTTCAGAGATGATTTGATGATCTACAGCCAAGTGATGCACAAATAAGGCACATTTCTGTTAATAGTTAAAGTACTTGAATGCATTAATACGACTTAACTCCTGAGTTTAGTGCCACTTTAAAAATAAGCCTTTGGATCAACATAACAGCCAATTATCTATAATTTTCAGAATGAAAGGTCAGCATGCTAGTCTACATATTTCTTTTTGGTATTAAAGGAAAACTGTACAAAGACGTGTATGTTCGAAGCAGCCACAAGGTGACAGCTGCGTTGGTGTTATTTTCCATTATGCTGAGTCTAAGATGCATAGTAGAGGGAGAAAGACTACAGTTTCATTAAAAAGGTTATTAACCAGAAAGGTTCTTTGATTTACATTTTGTTCATTGGTCACCTAAACACACATCCTGTCAGCTTTGCATTAGGGTAGCAGGGCTGCACGTAGGTGACAGATATTTTGTATTCATTCAAGTCAACATTACACCAGAATGAGAAGATTTAGGAAGAAAAAAGGTAAAATTGTGTTTTGGCTTTATTCACATTAGAGTCTCTGATAAGATGTAGTGCTGCAGGACAGTAGAATTTATAACAAATGATGTGTATTTTGTCGATAAATAATAGGCTTGGTTTTATTCTTCCAAATTCAAATTCCTCTCATGCAGTCACTATTGTGCAGACAATTTCCCACACGACTTCATCGATTTTTCAATCGACTTTTCTCGAGCTGGGTGGTGTTGACAGAACAACAGAAATCAGCAGAAATGTGAGCTGTATATGGCCAGCTTAACAATAGTCATTGGTGCAGAGTATTTACCTGGATGTCATGGATATCGTTACACACAAATTATCAGCAATATTATCAGAGTGAATATTTTTATGTTCATATTTTTTTTCTTTGTTATTGCGTTGGTTATTGTTAATTGTACATGTTTCTTATTATTGGCTTCTTAAAATTTAATTTTTAATGCTATATATAAGCAATCCTTATACACAGCAACAGGCTGCTCTCTTCAGTGGATGGTGAGCTCTGCTCTAATAAGGAGAAAGGGTGCATTAGAGATGGAGATTTGATGGTTGGAGGTGTGTGGTGGCTGTGAGAGGAGCGGATATGATCTGGGGAGAGGACTGATGAAGATTGCCATGTAATCTCTAATCTCTATCTCCCCAATAATGTGGGATCACGGTATCACCCGCCTTGTTACCCCAGGGTAAAACATTATCTCCCACCTTTCTCCATCAGTGGATAAAGAATGGTAAGGTAATAAAATAGGGTAATAACGGTGAGGGATGAGCTGGTCGAAGGAGTAGATGTACAGTAAGAAGAGGTAGAATAGGCGTATGTGTTTGAACCACATACATTTGGGTTTACAAAACATTGGGACCTTTTTTATATGAGATAATGACAATGTACCATTACCTGATAGTATGCTATAGGTTTTCCAGGTGCAAAACCTTTGTTTTTTTTTGATCCTATCGTTTATTTTTTCATCTCTCAGATAACGTGACATCAAAGTAGACGTGCCTTAAAAAAGTGCCAAATTTACCATTTCCCACCACTTTTTATCTAATATGAGCTGTCATTGAAAGCAGATGGCTCAGTGGATTAATAGTCTTTATCTAGTAACTCCGAAGAAGTCACTTTACCACTTAAGATTACCAGGGACTGTGGGATGTGAAAACGTGGGTTGAAAAATCTGAAACAGAGCATAGCTGTTATCTCTGTGTTGTATCCTGTGAGATATGTGATTAGAATAGGTGGTCTAGGATGGAATACAGTTTCCAGGAGAATATTTAGAAACTGGCAAATAAGTGATTAGCCAACCATTCACTAATTTTGAATAGTGGGCTTCTGCTGGGACAGATCCAATTTACGGACTGAGTATATTTCTCTGCTATTCACCAGATATCTGGATTTCCCATTATCCAATGGGAAAACCATGTCTTAACATTCCTCTTATTAGAAAATGATACAGTCACTGGCCCCAACTATTGTTAAGGAATTGATCTACCAAAAAGTGATATTTAAGTTCCAATCAGAACCTGTCCACCACCAAGTTTGGGTGTTTTTGCCCAATTTTGTGTGTTCTAGTTTCTCCTGTTACATTCTCCAAAATAAAATAAATTATAAAGCCAACAGAGAAAGTGGAAATCTCTCAAAATAGCCACAGCAGGTGTGAAGAACAATAAACTCAGGTACAGATTTTTCACCAAGAGATTTAAAAAAAACTGTCAGCAAATTGAATGATCACTATTGATTCCAAAGAAAGGTCCACTTCTCTACAATTGTATGTATTCAATTTTTGTTTTTGTAAGAAAAATAAGTAAGTACTATAGAACTTCTTTTCCCAACCTTGTCTTGCAGTGTGTTGTCTGGGGGAATACTTTGGGCACTAAAAAACAAACAAGAGAACCCCACTATGCGCCAGCATACACCACTGCGCACCACATACAATCTCTTGGATGATCGATGGCATCCAAGAGAATCGACAAGACAGGGCCTGGTTGTATCATGTAGAGCTGCAGGGTGCGACATCCTGGCCTGAGATTACACAGCTATGCGCTGGCTGGGGGGAATAATAGCACCTTGACTCCCAGCATTAGATAAGCTGTTATACTGTAAATCTATTAAATCAGAACTCCACACTATGTTGGTGCACGGTGGTGTTCTCTTGTTGCTTAAAATAAGGAAAACTGGAATAATTTTACAATTTCAGAAGTTTCAAAGAATGCTTACTTCAAAAAGAAACCAGTTACAAGATTTAAACCTATGACCCCCCTACTTCTATTTCTTCTAATAGAATTACTCTTCTATTTCTGTTTGCCTATTGTGATGAAACCCATCTAAATTCAGCCTTATACACAAAACTAATATTATTTTATTTCCTTACTGTTCAGATCCACACCACTTACATCGTCAACCTACAGCCTTGTTTTCATTGGTTGTTATTTTGAAGGTGGTGGAAATAGCTATTATAATTATTATAGGTAATGTATATTATAGGTAAGGTATATATATTAAAACATTTCTTCTTACCCATATTTTTAGTAAAACATAAAAGTCAGGGTCACGTCGGGTAAATAGACACCAAACATGTCAAGCCTTAAAATTACGTGCGCCCGCAAAAATTTCAAAAAGAGCCCATAGGCGACGATTAAAACAATTTTACTGTTCATCAGTTTAGTGTTATCAGTGATTAAAGGAGAACTATGGGGTTATGGCTTTTCCCCATAGTTTTCCTTAGGGTAACGGCAGGACACAAATTAGCATCCTCCCGTCACCCTAAGCTCAGTATACCGCGAGCTGCAGCTCGCGGTATACTGAGACGTATGTGTGTATATATACGTTTTATTTTATTTTAAGGAAAAGGAAGGAAGTGGGGGAACAGTGGAAGGGGAGATGCAGGACATCTTAATTGATTAATATAGTATAGCATAAGCATATACTGTACATTCTAAACAACATGTTTACAGGAGTATAAATGCTCCTTACAGTAAAGGCATGGGTAATAAATAATAATGGAAGGTTTGCGATATACATATTATTATTAATCTGAGAATGTCTTAGAGAAGTCATGTTATTAAACAATTATTCATGAATGAGTTAACCTAAATATGTGTTTATATACTGCTGTTAGTTTGGAAGATGCCCTGTAATACTCTTCCGGATTATGTTCCATCCTTGCCAAATAGCAACAACAGAACTCCAACAGATCAGAACTTTATCTCGAAACACTATGATGCTTTTGTCGTGATGGCGGACCTGTGTGCTGCCACAGGTAAGGCAATAATCTGAGTTAACCAATTACATTATAAGTGAATACACTTACTGGACTTTCTTTAGCTCATTCCAGTAGTTTAGCTAAATATGAAAACCTGACAACCTGAAAATTGTATTATTCCTCACTCAATCCAAAATTAAAATTGTCTGATGTTAGGACTGAAAATCAGTTCAGAAGCAAAAAGATTAGACCTATGTGCTACCACAGGTAAGCCAAGGACCAGGCTTTACCGAAAATGACATCTTTAGGGAAATATACACATTGCACTGCATGTGGTAGGAACAAATGTAAATTTGAATGGGCCTCAAAGTTCAATTGAAGTCCAAACTTCTTTTTCTGTTTTGAATGTAGTGGAGTGGAGAGGAATTAGAACAACTGTCAGGTATTTCCTGCTGCCTATGTCTCCGTTTGGGAGATTCACCTCCTCTATTTATCCTGGTGAATGTTATCACTAAAAGTGAAAGAAAATCCCACATTTTGGGTTGTTACCAGAACTAGAATAGATGGGAACTCTTCCAATGTGGACACTAGTTCTGGTGACCCTATTGACCAACAGATATTTCCTTCACTTTGGAGAGATTTCCTCTGGCTTCGGGTTGTGGCTATCTCCCCAATAGGACACAGTTGGCAAAAAAAAACTGATAGGAGGTGATAACTCCCCTTACTTTCCCCAAAACTAAAAAAAAGTTTTGTTTTCAATTCTACTTTAAAGTGACACTAAACTGGGGAGGTAAATCTTAAAAATGTATTCACGTGACTTAACTATCAACAAAAATGTAGCTTATTTGTGTATCACTTGGCTGTAGATTCTTAACTCATCTCTGAATTGGTAGTGACACTGTCCTTCCTTCTGGAGGGTGCCTACTTTTGTTCCCCATGGTCCCTGTGTGTGTTGTAAATCTCCTGTGACGGACTACAATCACATGTTTAGTTTAATAATTTGTATTGAGGTTGTAGTCCATCACGGGAGTTAGCTTGGAGCGGTGGCTACTTTACAATATACACAGGGAACATGGGGAACAAAAGTAGCCACCCTCAAGAAGGAAGGACAGTGTCGGCATGGATTCATGGTTGATTTGAGGATCTACAGCCGAGTGATACACTAATAAGATACATTTTGGTTGATAGTTAAGTTACTTGAATACATTTTTAAGATTTAAAGGAGAACTATGGGGTCAGTGCTTTTCCCCATAATTCTCCTAGGGGTAACGGGAGGACACAAACTAGCGTCTTCCCGTCACCCTAAGCTCAGTATACCGCGGTATACTGAGACGCTGCAGCCGTGATGGATCACGACATTACTGTCTGGATCCATCCAGCTGCTCGTTTGACAGCTGGCTCTGCCTATCTAGAGGCAGAGCCAGCTGTACCCGTCCCCTCCATGTCTGTTCCACCAGTCAGCGCTGGAGGATCGGACAGGGGAGGGGGGAATCCCTGCAAAGAGCCGTGAGTGACAGTCACGGCTCTCTGCAGGGACAGGATCGAGAAGTGAGCGAGTGACGGTATGTGTTCGCTCACTTCCCGATCTATTGAGCTGACGTGTGACAGTTTAATTGTCACAGGTCGGCTAGAACCATGAGGCTGAGTGTTTTTCACTTGCCTCATAGTTCTCGAGTTTAGTGTCACTTTAATGTTTCCCTTAAAAAACACACTGCAGTACATAGATGTCAACCGGCCACACAGATTATATGGATTTCTGTTCAGATTTTTTTTCCATGCACTAAAATCCACATGGTTTCTGCAGGAAAGTGCACAAGGAAAACAGGTTCTCAATAAATGCCTGCATACGAACCAGAAGACTAAAATGACTTGTTTTTTTACAGGTAAGGTGTGCGAGCTCTGTCCTTTAAACTGGGTGTCATTTAGCAGTAAATGCTACTTCTTTTCAGAAGAAAGAAATAACTGGTCTTCAAGCAGAGAGAACTGTCAACGGACAAATGCAGACATCCTTTGCATGGAAAACCTTGAAGAAGAGGTGTGATATGGCAGTTCATTTAGGGTCAGAAGAAATATCAAATGTCCTGATAGGCTCTGTTATTTTTTTAGCCTACTATAGGCCATAAAGACTACTGTTCAATATAAAAAACGCTTTTGTGTATCCCAAATAAGAAATAACATTTTGTGTACGTCCCTGATCTGTGTCCCCTCACACCCTCTCCAGATGTACACTGATAGAAGAACAATTATGTAGATCTTCCCATTCAGGCTGCAAACTAATATAATTTTAAACAGTCTATCCCCTTCATTCTCTACCCAAAAGTAACAAAACTAAGTAATAAAAAGAACATCTTCTATATGCCTAAGATGTAATGGGGTGACCAGAATGTTTTTTTTAAACTTTGCAACCCATTTTACAATGTAGCAATTGTTCATAGAAATGTTATTTACTGCATAAAGATAGACTGAACTGGTCAGAGTCACACTATAGAGCTCAGCTACACTTTAGATTTCTCATTGCTTGGTAGCACGATCTTACCCCCTTACTAAGCAATGCCTCATTTGCAACATTATACTTTGCAGATGTGCTAGTGCACATGTTTGAAGGCTGGCCGCAGGCTAGCCTGGATTTGTGGGAGGAGCCTGTGCCTTTAAAGACGGCACGGCTCACAGGGAATTACGTCGGAGGGTCACGAACGTCCCCGCCCGCCCATTCCCCTTGCTTTCATTCATTCATTTCATTTACATTCAGGGTATGCCCCCTTTTAGGCATACTGACCTGAGAAGGCCAAGGCACACCACAGGCCATGGGGCGGGGGGTGGCGGGGTGTCACTTACTTGATAAGGCTCGGACCACAAATTAAAGTATAATACAGCTTGTCAATGTTCCTGTGTAGTATGCAATGATGCAAAATGCCTTCCACATTTTAACCTTCCCTAGTAAAAGAATAAATCAATTCATGTTTCTGAAGTCACAGGGGTTGAAAATTATAATGTTTGCATCTTTGTGTCTTATTGTTGTCAAACTGCAACACGTTTTACATATTTAATGCACTGTATCACAGTAGCGTGACGTGGAATTAATTTCCACTCATTTTACCAATGATTAAACATGTTGTGTGTAAACACTGTATTTCTGTCAACGGATCACTCTGCTGCTCTATTGCTCTTCCCTTTGTGTTGCCTGATAAATCCATTAGCTATCTCTTGGCTTATTCCACCTATTACCATATAGTTATAGATGTTAATGTGTTACTTTATAGAAATTCATTTCTGAACAAGTTTCCTTGAAGAATGGTCACTTTTGGGTTGGTCTTAGGAAACACACATCACAGTGGAGATGGGAGACTGGTGGAATATATCATAAAGAACCGTAAGTTTATTGGATATCAAAGCAAATTCATAAATAAGGCAGGTCATACAAGATTTGATGAAACATTTAGGTTTGCTGGCACTCCTGCAGGTTTATTATTCATTGGTTGCTAAAAATATTTTGTGAAAAATTGGATAATCTGCTGATACAGTATTTTTAAGCATGCTGGATGATATGTACACAGACAAGGCAGGATTTTGTTATACCTTCTGGATTTGCCAATATTTGCAAGTGAGGCACAGTACGGCATACCCATGCATTTCGAAGCCACAATAATGTAGTTATTAAGATGGCTAAAGTGTTAACTACACAACACGTTTAGCTAAAAATAGAGCTTCTTCCCACTTTGGGGAGATATTATTTCACTTCCTGTTGTGTTTCCAGGACACTAAGTGAATGCAAATTGCCTCAATGGGATGCTGACCACGGGAAAAGGAAAATTTTAGAGTAGTTTTTAACCATTTATCCACGAACATTGCAAACACCTCAAATAGTTGCATATAATCTAACAATAGGCAAATGTGCAAGCTGACAGCACAAGCAATGTAATACTAGACATTTAATAAATGAGTGCACTTATCTTTTTTGAACCCCCCACTACTGACCTAAATGATTCTACCTTCCCCCAACTGCAGATCTGTACTTACCAAGATCTGATGGGCATAGTTCAGCTTTTGTTTATATCCAGCTTCATGTGGGAGCAGTTGAGAAACATGGAGAACGAAAAAAATTGGGAGGAATGTCCTCTACTGCAGCGCTGCCCCTGGGGTGAGGGCAAAGAAATATCGGTTACAGTACTTGGTGTGCGGCTCCTAAAATTGCGGACCGGGGTGTCCAGCGTTTTACTGATAGAAAAGACAAAAAATACAGAAGCGCACTAACAAGTGGTGACTGAGCAAGGAAAGGTAAAGGAATAATGGAAAAAAGACTTACCAGGGTGTGGGTACTAGCGCGTTATCAGCGACAAAGTGTGTATAAATTGGGAATTGGTAAGTCTTTTTTCCATTATTCCTTTACCTTTCCTTGCTCAGTCACCACTTGTTAGTGCGCTTCTGTATTTTTTGTCTTTTCTATCAGAGAAACATGGAGAAGCTCTACCCTCTTGTATGATCCAGTGAGGTGACATGAAGACATATATGAATATGCATGTACATGAAAAATAATCAAAAAAGAGTATATCCAGGTATCAAAAAATAGGAAAAATAATATATTATGGTAAGGGACCATCACTGATAAGAAATCTGAACATTTTTGATAACCTTTTAATGTGTTTCATGCCTATCATATATTTTACTCATTTGTATCTAGATCTATCACATCTGAAGAACAGAAGTGTGCCACCTTTGGAAGAGACATGTCAGCTGAAAGCTGTTCTAACCCCAACAAATGGATATGTGAAAAGAACATGACTCGCTATGTTACATAAAGTAGCTTTTTTTCTTTGTGTTTTTTTTGTTTTGTTTAATAAAAATGCTCTGGCAAGGGAAATTGCTCACAAACTTGTAACCTTGATAATTCTTTGTAATAAAAACACCATTAATTAAACTGGTATTTTGTTGTACTTTCCTTCTTAAGGTTATGTACACAGTAATAGGTTATCGGAATCACTGTATATTGTTAATGACAACTGTGCTTGTGCTGCGTGGTTGCTTAAAGACCAACTATCCTGTACCTCCTCTCGTTATGATTTGTGAACTGATTTTTGCTTGGGAATGCCTTACAATGTCTTTTTTCTTTCAGTAAAAATAACGGCTTCTGCCCTCACAATGCAGCACTCAATGTTGGCAGAGCTGAGTAATAGTCACACCCCTCTGCACAAGTGTCCTCACACGGACTGTGATTTGAAATAAAAGGTCTAAACAGGTCTGTAACAGATTGCTTATTATTGAGTAGGTCAAACTCTGGTACATATTGGACTGCACAGTCATACATAAATACCACACCCAAGTTTACACGTTTGTAAACGTACCCCCGTGCATGTGGAGATGCAAGTGGTGGCATTTGCGTGAATACACCTGTGTACCCGGGTTTTCTGTCCATACATTACTATGGACAGAAAACCACAGCAGCCAAGGCTCCTGAGAGTCGCAAATACATGTGCATTTTCTGCTGAGTGAAATATGCCTGTATTTGCTCTGCAATACACCCATGACTACAGAAATGCCAAACATGCAGAAAAGAATTTAGCAAACACACTACATCCCTACATCTCTAAAATAGGAATTCTCTTCACTTTGGAGAGATTTTTTTTTTGTGACAACAGAAGGTAATGGGAGCACAGACAGCATGAATAAAACTGGTTTTATATCTTCCCTAATCTATCTAAGACCAAACAAAGACACATTTATGGCTTTGTATACACTTTACCACTTTACGGGTTCTGGGAATGCAAGTTCTTCATTCTATTTTTGTCTTCTGGATGAACTTCTGACTAATTATATGACTATGTTAATGATAGTGTCTGTAATAACTATATTCTAATATTTTAAAAGTGAAACATAATAAACACACATGAAATGTATATAATTGATCAATACATTGATAAACATTTTATATGACAGGTGGTACCATATTAAGCAACAAAACAACAACAAACATTGATGTTTTAAACATTTTATTGCTTGCATTTGTTTTCTCTACATAAGTAAGTGTATGTGCTACATGTCTTTAGGACATAAATTATTCCTTCAGTTAATTTTAATTTTCATTAGCGCCTCCTTTTCCTTTTCCTTTTCCTTTTCCTTGCTTCTTTTTATCTTTCCCTTTGCCCTTTTGTTTGCCTTTCCCTTTTTTCCCCCCCTCTCCTTTCCCTGGTTGTGACTCTGATTCTTGTCCGTCTTCATTGTTAGTTTCACGATTATGAGCAAACCGTTTTTCTCTTAAATGTTCAGCTACCTCTTCAACCTTGCCTTCATTTTTCTGACCATCATTTTCTAGTTCATTATCATTACCCTTGCCATGCTTAGCTCCTTTGCCATGCTCTAGTCCTTTCCCATGGCCCTTGCCATGCTTAGCTCCTTTGCCATGCTCTAGTCCTTTCCCATGGCCCTTTCCATGCTTAGCTCCTTTGCCATGCTCTAGGCCTTTACCCTGTTCCTCGTCTTTCTCGGCTCCTTTGCCATGCTCTTTTCCTTTCCCATGACACTTGCAATGCTTTTTCCCTTTGCCATGCTTTTTCCCTTTGTCCTTCCCATGCTCAGCTCCTTCCTCCATATTTTCTTCATGGCCTTTGCCATGCTCTTTTGATTCACATATGCATTTATCATGATCTAGTTCTTCTCCAGGGGCTCTGTTGGATCCATCTTCTTGTTGTTCCAGATCTCGTTTCGACCTGTCATTTTTCTTATCCCCAAAGACTGACTTCTTATAATCTTCTTCAGCTGAAAAATTCAAAGAAACAAGCCAATTCTTTAGTGTATCTTCTCAGAATACAAATACTATGTACTATGTGAAATATGTAAAATGAAGATGCTCTTTGGAACTAAGGTTTTATTTTGGTTATACTTCTTATGTTATTTTTTAACCGAAAGGTTAAAGTTTTACAGAAAGTTTAGGGCTAAGTTTATCTTTCAAACCATGTTCTTCTCCCTGCAGGCTGACAGGATCTGTGAAAATAGAAACTACCATGGCAGAAGGACTTGAAGTTCTCAATGAAGAACATGTGCGGTGATATCACTTGTTGTTCATTTATATTGGCTCTCATCAGCTGAAAGTCCACACTTCGGTACTGATAGGGGATGGTAGAAGGGGTCTGCAGGAGCCAGAGCATTACACATGTGATCTACAAATCATAGTTGCAATGCTTTACAGGCTCCAGTGCAAAAATGCAATAAATGCAATTTTTTTTCTCTTATGAATGTGTGTGCATTTATTATTTATTTATTTTAAAGTGAACTTTGCCTTAAAGGGAAAACTTTCTGATGGAGCCCTTTATTAAAACAAAAACAAAAAAAAAAGTTTTGGTATGTGTGGATTCCTGAGCAATGGGAGGTGGCTACACTTCAAAGGTTAAGGTCTGTTGTTTCCTTGTATATTGTACAAAGGTGAAAAGCCTGCAGTAAAGTAAGAGGGAATATAACAGTAAGTGTATTATGTCCTGAGAGCGCTAAGAAATTTATTTTGATTTACTTTTTAGGAGGTTAATGAAACTGTGTGGACAGATATCTGTGGTTTTGAGGGTGGTCCCGTAAAATGAACTTGAAAGATATATCCAGCAGAAGTGCCAATGGTCTTACCTCTTTTCTCTATTGTGTGAAGGAATAGGAATATCAGAGCACAGTAAGACAGGACATTGCTGCATTCTTTTCCCTAGTGTATACAAAGGCAGGAAACACTAGGGCGTAGTAGAGGGAATTTGATAGAATGAAGGAGATGGTTGTGGTAGGTTTGGAGGCAATGTACTATGTATGGTAGTCATGATGGTGCTGCATCACAAGTGGTAGTGAGGTTGCTCACTATGGCATTTCTTCTCTCAACAAACTGCTATAAATGTTCTGTGATAACATGTGGACAAACTTCACGGGACTTGTTTTCTCAGACCAGTTCTTCATATTAAAATTGTTAGGATATTAGGATTGGGAAGAGGCTGCAATGCTTAGTAAAGCCTTCTCTTACAGAAGTATCATCAAATAATCGGCCACCTCAAGCAGAGGTCTATATGATCTCTATAAAAATTAAAGGAGAACTATGGGGTTAAGGCTTTTCCCCATAGTTCTCCTTAGGGTAACGGGAGGACACAATCTAGCATCCTCCCGTCACCCTAAGCTCAGTATAACCGCGAGCTACAGTTCGCGGTATACTGAGATGCCACAGTATACTGCGAGCTACAGCTCGCAGTATACTGGGACGCTGCAGCTGAAGCGGATCCTGACAATTATCTCTACGCATCCCGACAATACTTTCAAGATCCACCCAGCTGTGTGAGTGACAGCTCACTCTGCTTATCTAGAGGCAGAGCCAGCTGTACCCGCCCCCTCTCCCATTCGTTCCACCAGTCAGCGCTAGAGGATCGGAGTGGGGAGGGAGGAATCCAGCCTCTCCCCTGTCACGGCTCTGTGCCGTGACAGGATCGAGAAGTGAGCGAACGCCGGTATGTGTTTGCTCACCTCCCGATCTACTGAGCCGACCTGTGACAGTCTCATTGTCACAGGTCGGCTAGAACTTTGAGGTGAGTGAAAAGCACTCACCTCATAGTTCTCCTTTAAACCAACATCACCCTCCAAACATGGAGATATCTGGGACAAGGGACATTCAAACCCATATAATATCATAAATAATTTTTATTATAGATCCACTAAGTATGAACATAAACAAAAACCATCACCTCCGTGTATATAATCTGAACCATAAATAGTTTTAAAAAAACCCACTAGAATCTTCCACTAAAGATTAAAACACTGGTACTCACCAGAACGATTTTGATATAGATGCCTACAACACAACATGGCATTATTTAAGTTCTAATTTGAGAAGTACTGTTTCAAGTGTTTTGATTCGTACTGGCTGCTATGTTTAAGGATTGGAAGCATATTGAAAATATAATCCTTTGTGAGGAATCGAATCATGTGCACATGAATGGAATATATACATGATTAATACGTTTATTCATGGTATACCCTAATAATGAAGAAAGTTTATAACAAATTTATATGATGAACTAATGTCCTCCTTCCTTCATTTAAAACAGAATTTTGCTTGGGATCATGTACAAGTCTCTAAGCATCAATGTATTATACAATATAATGTGGCAGGGCTGTAGTTACCATGGGGCGAGTGAGGCACTCGCCTCATGTGCAGCTGAGAGGGGGCGTAGCCAGGGCCAGCCTGGCTGTGTGCCCTCGCTCCTGTTGCCATGGCAAGCACAGGGCACCATAGCAACAGGGGCGCTAGGTGGCCAACACAGCTGCACCTTGGCAGGGAGAAGAGGGGCGGCACAGGCTCCAGCTTCTCCTCGGATCCCCGCTGCTCTCCCCCGCCTGTATGGGCAGAGGCAGCAGGGATCTGATGAGAAATAGAGCGCTGCCGCTGGCGTGGGGGGGGGGGGGGGCAGAGGAGGTAGCTGTCATTCAGGATGGCGTAGCGGTGAGGAGAGAGGGAGAGAGACGCCCCACCTGGATCTGACACCCAGAGGCTATTTGTCTCCTCACTGCTCGGCAATCCTGAAGTGACAACGCTCCCTTCTCTGCCCCCCGCTGGCTTCAGTGATCCCTTATCTGCCCCCCCCTGCTGGCTTCAACACTCAGGTTGGCAATTTCTTTTTCTATTTCAAAAGGTCAGGGGTCTGTTTAGACCCTAATATTTCCCCAAACTCCCCCTTAACAGTAAAAAAAAAACCCCACAAACACACACATGCACACATATTATTAGACATGTGCAAAGACTACAAATTTGTTTTGGACAAAATGAACAGAAACCAAAAATGTTTTC